CCGGCCACAACTTTACTTACCTACCAGAAGGCTGAACACCGACCCACTTGAAATTTTTTTCGAAGCATACGACAACAAGGTTGGTTAGTTACAATTAGTGCAACTATAAACATTTGGAGTACATTGCAAACCGGCCACAACTTTACTTACTTACCAGAAGGCTGAACACCGGCCCACTTGAAATTTTTTTCGGAAGCATACGACAACAAGGGGGAAATTGCGACAACCGCACAACAATACGGTTCACAAGAGCATTTCGAAAGTTGTTTTTTAGTGCGCTTCTTACATCATCAAAAGACAACTGTGCTAAAGATATGGATGTCCTCTTGGTTCAATGCACAACAGCAAATATATCAAAGCCAAAACATGAAGACAAGATGCCACAATCCCATCCAAGCATTCTTTCAATTGGACCAGCAGATTATAGAGAACAGAATGTGACTTCTAACATCATTCAAGATAACGCTGTAGCTAATGTTGCTGGCTACTTGCTGAAAAAATCATTCAAGAGGCACAGCTGTGATAAATGCAAGAGAATTTTGACATCAAATGATTTTGACAGTGATCAACAGCTTTTCTTCTATTTCAAAGCATATGATAATAAGAATTTTGGTGAGCTGAATCTCCCGGCTAGAAGATACCTGGAATACATAAAAACAATGGAAGATACTTTAGTTAATTGCTTTTCTGCTACAACGAAAAATTCCAACGTTGGGGCAAATATATTAAAAGTCCTCCAGGCAATTCCACCAGTTGATGTATGTACAGAGTTCCCACATGATTATTTGTTAAAGCTTTTTGTCCGAATGCGTATCTATTACGCGATCAAATTTGCAAATCGTGACTTTACCACCACCAAAAGGAAATGTCGGAATATATAAAAGTCAAAAATCTTTAAACTAAACAAAATTGAAGAACTTAATGCAGAGTAGGTTTATTCACAGTCCAAGAAAAAACATAGGCAAATAAACTGACCCTTACCTCTAGAACTTTGATGAACAGCCAGGACAGACGACATGTCGTCCGTATTCAAGTTCTACTTTGAATGTTTCTACAAACACTTATTTTTCAAATACGATATCAAATTGACTGATAAGACATAAAAGACTGGCTGCGATTTACTGTCTCTACTCGAAAAACGCAAAAAACTGCCAATGTGCTGAACTATTTTTTTTTTTGGTTAAAAATTTGTCTTTGGCACTATAAATTACATTGCGATCTGGCTGCATTTATCTGGCTGGAAACATGGCCGCCGTGTAAAGTTCCCGGATGCTGGGGACACGAACATCAAAGGTTCCGACATCGAGTGGCGCTTCTGTATGTATCTATTCTGTGCTTGTATTATTGACAGAGGAAACTACAGAACACGAAAAACTTTAAAATCATGGCACCCTAGAATAACCAAAGAAGGCGATAATAATTCAAAACCACCTCCAGCGCAATATAAACTCCTTTAAAAAAACAGTAACTGCCTATTACATAGAACATTGTATCATATTGCTCTATTTTCGCTTTTTATTGATGTATTTATAGTGTTACATCCCATCCCATTTAATTCTTTCATAACCCGTCGAAGGCTGTAGACAGACAGCCGAAAGCGTATTTAACAAAATAGTATATCAGTGAACGTTTGACCAAATTAGGCTTATTTTGTTGTTCACACTGCTAGACATCGTCTAATCCACCACTTCGCCAGTAAGAAGCGCGTGTAGTAATTCCACATGTCATGTGGTACAAACTGTAAACACTGCGTACATGGTAACAGCTCTGTCATATGTTCTTCAGGGTTGTTAGTTTGGCTATTTTAAGGCCAAATGATTCGATTTTGACTGTTTTTGCTTGAAAAATTTCGACTATTAATGTGTTCTTTTCGTACTTTTATAATGCAAATATGTTTTCATATCTATTGTAAATAACAGTGGTTCTGCTAGTAATATGTGTTGCTTGTACAGTCAATTATAATCGACGGTAGAAGATGTAAACACCGAATCAGTAGTCCGAAATGATGTCTAAAGAGAATCGTTGTTACAAATAAAACAAACACATCATGTTTAAGAATATATGATAGAGCTGTTACAATGCTATTTGCGAAAATACTACACGTGCTTCATATGGGCGAGATGGTGGATTGCGGTTTTATTTATATTTTCATTGTTTAAAAATATTTGAGAAAAACGACAATTTTTTTGAACGTAAATGTGAATGTGAATTGCACAGTATTGTAAGCAAAGGCCCTGGAACGCGTTTAGGAGAGTTTCACTAAAGAAGGAGCCACTTTGCACACGTGGCCGTATTTATTGAACATCAAAATGTCATTGATGCTAATTTATAAATGCTAATCGTTCACTTATTTACTATTTTATTTCTCATTTGCATGTTTAAACTTCAAGTCCACCATAAATTTGAGTAAATTTTATGTTTCAGTGGTTAGCCAACTTCCCATTCTTTTATAATGAACAAGTACTTGTTCGTTTTCGCTGAAGTTTTCAAATCTGTATGGCATGATCCAAACAATATCGTGCGTTACCGCAACCCAAACACGGAAACCATTAGGCCATTTTTTATAAGTAACCAGCAAGACGATAAAGTTGTAAGCTTTATTTAAAAAAGCGGAAGTACAAAAGTTGAAATATCCCAAGAAAACGTAGCGGTAAAGTTTAGTAAACAATGATAAAAAATACCACAAAAAATAATACTGACTTTAAATAATTAACGAAATCGCTAGCGTTGAAAAAATACGCGCAGATTTATGATTTATCTTGTACACTGTGTCTTAATTGGATGATCATTGGATGAACATGAACATCGATTAATCGGGGCAAACGTGGGACGTTGCTCAAGTTAAAATTAAAGTTTTTATGAGACAAAATTTTACCATGTAAAGGCAATTTAAAGTGACTTAATAACTTCTTTAAAAGAATTTTGTTATTTTATTTCTTTTTGAAGCTATGTAACTTCTCTTAAATATGCAAATAACATCGTTATGAAACCACAATACATAATTAGCATTAGGAAAAAATTAATTTTCGTCGACAGTTAGCATTAAAATATGTATTTTTGGCATCTTTGCAAATAATTATGTAAACACGTGTTCATCAAACTATTTTCTTTGTTTATAAAACGTTTTAAATTGATGATCTTTGAAATATCATGATGTTCAGTGATGTTATAACGATGTCATTTAAATAAAGAAAAAAAGTTGAATATCTCTTGAATAAAGTACAACAATTTAATTCTACTAAAGAGGTTATCAATCCATTTTAAGTGCTCTTTCTAAGGCAATCAAAAAAACTTGTTATAAAATTTCGTGTTATAAAAACTTTTGAAACGCAGTCCAAAGCACTCTTTCCCTCAAGATCAGGGAAATAGTTTCTTTGCATAGCTAGAACGAATTTAAGAGCATTTGCTAAATATTTGACTGGACGAAAATTTATCTTCATGGGTTTTTGTCTCCCAAAAGTAGGTGACTCAGTATCTTCGACGCATAAGACGAAATTAAAATCACTTTCAGAAGAAATCAGTAGGGCACAACGGAATGTATGTACTCCCCCCCAATTAACGTTCTAGTTACGCCTTCGTGTACGTAACGTGTGTTGATAATTAAACAAATAAAAACTTCTACGGTCAGAATCCCATATAAAGCATACGTCGTTGTAATTAATATTATCGAAGAAAAATGAAATAAAAAAATTGCGAGTGCAAGATTTGAAAATCAAACTTTCTTCGAATAATATATGTAAAGCTGCCGTTTTGTAATGAAATAAATTGTAATAATTAGTTATAAATTATAAAGCATAAGTACATGTAAAATAATGAAAGTGTTTGCAGTTTGAAGATTTTAAAAAATTTTGTGACATTCCATTTAGTACACACCACACCACACAGAATTTCAGTACGTAGTAAATGAATAATCAAAAGCATCTTCTCCATTTGCACACAAGTATACAATATTTATAACTCACTCCCCCTTTCCTTCCTCAAAAATCTACTTTGCTACTTCTAATTAGTAGTGGTTTTTAAAGGCACGCCAAAGACAGCTTTTATATTTTAAAGCAATGAGCAGAAACCAATCCAACTTCTCCTAGATTTCTTTAATCTTAGCCAGTTCACTTACAAATAAAATTCATACACTCATGGAATGAAAATGAGATTATCAAATACCTAAAGAAGGAAACCAAATCTTAGCAGTGCCTTGTCACAGTAGTTTTTGTTACTTGTAAAATCTGTTACACCTATGAAGAATGCACGTAGAACGCAATATTAGGAGCCTTATCTTATACCAACGATAGTTAGTTTATTTGATAATAATATAGTAGCAAATGGCCTGAATTTTTTCAGAAATTTAAATTCGATGGAGAACCAGCAACGAATATAAACGCATTGTCTGTTCTGTTTTGGCTACGGTATCTAAAATTTAGAGTTCTGCGTGTGTAAGTTTTTTCAATCCTTATTATTCTGTCATAACGCTTAATTTTTTACCAAACTTTAAATAGGTGCACCAAACAATCTTAGATTAATACACAAATGAACATTGAAACTGCCATGTTGGGGGAGTACATATAAAGTGCGGATGCTCAATAGAGCATAAAATTTGTACAAATTCTTTTCACTATATGGGATATTCATGTAACAAGGCGATTGATGAAAACACTCTATATGATTGACTGTTTATAAATATATATAATGGTAAAACATTATTGAAATTTTAGCTAATAGTCTTTGATTTATTTCAGTTGTCTATATCGTGGTTTACTCTTATTCTATCTATCTGTTTGTATGATGGTTACTTTTTTCTCTTCTACATGAAAAAACCAGACAGTTACAACTCAAAGTTTTATCTTTATCCGCATGTTGATCAACTAATTCAAGAAATGGAGGCCATGCATAATGTGAAACTAGAATTTTTTACAGAATTATTTGACATGTATGAAAAATCCTGGATTGTAAATGGTCAGCAAATCATGTAATAAATTTAACTGTGTCTTATGCTCTACTATGCGATCTCCGTGGCGCAATGGATTAGCGCTTTGGACTTCTAATTCAAAGGTTGTGGGTTCGAGATGTGGTTCCCATCGGAGATGTTGCTTTTTACTGCAAAGAAAACTGATTTTTCACTAGGGGGGAAGTAAAACCCTAATTTTTTGATAAAATAAAAATCCTACAGCATTAGAAAATTCTAGTCAAAAATAATGTGCAAAGAAACAAGTTGTTAAAAACGGGGAAGAATTTCCCCTTTGTAAATATATTTCGTTTTGTCGACTGAGCGCAAAAACAGCACAGTAATATGAAGTATACCTTTTAAGGTTGCTCCATTTGGTTGAAAAATGAAGATGTATAACTCATTGCACGGAGATCTACATTGAGTCTATAAGATTCTCAAATGAAACAACGACCTAAAGTATTTACACACCTCGACATGCGGACAAAATTACATTTTTAATTTCTTATAGAGTTCTAATAACATTTATCAACTTACTCATTATCTAATGCTTCAAACTTTGCTTCTAATGTTGGAAGCTCTTCTGCGTCTTCTTCGATTTAAAGTACTCTCCGACTGCGTTTGTTTGAGGTTCATTTTCGTACAAATTAACAATTGATTTAGCCACTATTGCATCCTCATCGCCGGAATTTGAAAGTAAATTTTCATTTGCTGCATCAGAGTTTCAGTATCGGAAACGCGTTTGGTTGTTCTGCTTGAAAAAGTCAAATTTGTTGTCAATACGTGTAAAACATCTAACAAAACACAAGTAAATCAATAACGCATCTTTGAGCAAAAATTGATAAAAGATCCCGTCCTTCAATATTCATAAGAATTATACCATGGTGATCAGGAAAGATTGAACTATTTAATTATAGAAAAAAATCGACATCAGGAACTTTCGAATGGACTTACCCACACGTATCATACTTACAACTGTAAATTTTTGTCTTTGAGATGTTAGAACTTTTTCAAAACATGCCACGAAGCATCTTAAAGAAATTCTAAAGTAATTATCTTAATTCTTAATGGTTTATAAAATAATCAATTCTGTTCGGTCTCATGTAAACAGGTCGTTAGTTAAACTAGTGAAACATACATTGCAGTCAGTCTGCGCCAGACCACCTGAGATGTATGATTTTCTAATTTCATTTTGCCTAACATCTAAAAATTAAATAATCACAATTGTAATTTTTCTTGTAGAGGCTATTCAAACTAAAGAAGGCTCTTTGGTAATTTTGTGGTGGCTCAGTACGAGGTAAAATACCTTTAAATGACAGGGCATTGGCATTTAAAAGACAATTTTTTTAATTTGATTTCTGGATAAATTCTTTGAAGAATCTATCAAAGTTTATTCACACCACAAAAATTTGGAAAATAATCCAATTGAGGCCAATCGTACAAAAGTTTTAAAAACATTTAAAAAGACATAGATTGCTGAAAGAAGAATTTCAAAAGAATGCCTATGCTAAAAAAACATTAATAAATTTCAAGTTTTAAAAATGTTGTTCATGATAAAAGCACTACTTGTTTAAGCTTCAATGTATAGCGCAAATTATTGCTTTTATGTTCTAAACATATTTTCCCTTTTACCAAAGATTCACCAAAGCGAAGATGAGATAGACGATGATGACGTAATTCTATATCAGTGAGGATGCAAAATATTTGCTTAGAGTTTATGATCATGCAAAGTTCCTTTTTGGATTATATGACGTAACGTGGACGTGCCTGGATGAGGCAGAAATTATCAAAGACAAAAATTACACGTTCGTGTTAAAGTAACACTCTCAAAAGGTCTTCATTAGTAGGATTTACATAAAACTGCTCGTTTCACTTAAAGCATTATGAAAAAATTTAATTTGCAATTAAGAAAAATCCTTTGATAAATTCGAAAAAGATGGCAGCCATGACGTGTAATGCAAATCACCTGTTGTTATCTGCCGACATGGTGAATGCCATGTTCTTACAAAGCTATTCCAATTTTCTAAAGCATAGTTTTCATCAGCAACATAAAGAACAAGTAGGAAAACAATGTAAAGCACATTCTCTTCAGGTTGCGGGAGACAAAAACAAACAGGTGTTTTTAAATTTGTTTTGTTTTACTGTTTTGACAAGTTATTTTGTCAAGTTACTGGGCCTGTGCTTTCGGCGATGCCGAAGTTTATGTTTGGTTCAGACTGTTCATTGCATTCTTTTGTACTTTCCTTTGTCTTTGCTTGTCCTTATATGTCTACGTCACTAGTGAAAACTAGCCTTAGTACAAAATTAATTCCTAAGCAGTATATGAAAAGAATGTTTCTTAGGGAGCACACAAGCGTATTGTTTTATGTTTATTAATTAAGTTCATGGTATGCACTAATTCATACTACAAGCATATAAAAATGCAGCAATAAAATATGCAAGTAGGTTATTCTTGGATTAGATGACTGCAAGATGCTTTAAAAGAGTCAAGACTCGGTTGTGAAATCCTGGGCGTTGTTGGTAGTCTTTGCTTGCACTTTTGCCTTAGTTGAAAACCAAAAACCAAAGCTAGAGTAAGTAAGCAACTCGATGTAATCATAATTAATAAAGAAAAGCACGTAATAATTTACGTTGTATCCCTGACTTTTAGCAAGTTTAAAGGTATATTTCAAATTACTGTGCTGTTTTTGCGCCGCGTTGACGAAACTAAAATATATTCACAAAGTGGAAATTCTTCCTTTATTATTGCGCTTCCTGTTTGATAATTAGCTTTGACTTCAAGTAAATTTGACATTGTGTTTTTAAGTGTTCTAGATTAATTGCTGTGGGAGAACGATTTTAAGATATGGCATAAATGACAAAGATGATATAATTCCCGAAGGGGAAGATGATTACTCCTTCACGAAAGAAAAGTTTTCTATTACATAAAGTCTTGTAGTTCAATTTTTCACTATTATAGAGCTTTTTATACAATGATAGACCATTACAAAATTCGATGGGCGGCTTATCAATTATGGGGCCATTAGGCTAAGACAAAGTTGTGGACGTTAGGGTGATATCTATTCGTCCCAATAAGTCCAGTATCTTGAGGATGTTTCCGTTTCTAGTGCTCCTTTGCTTTTTCTTTTCCGGCTTCTGTTTTTGTAACTCATTGTTTAAAAAGTAAGGAGTAAATTTGAAGGTCCAAGAGGTAAACTCATTACTTTAGGAGTTCTGTGCATTGTGTATGAAAACAGTACATCGTACAGTTTCAATAGCATAAATTATCGAACTCTAGAACATTTAGCTAGTCCAAAATGGCGAAAAGTAAAAACTGTGTCAGTCAATGCGTGCTCTCCCATTTATCAACAGGACCCAATGGCTAAAAGGAACAAGATGCATGGTTTATATAGGTGTTTATATGCATGCATTTGCATTTAGTTAAAGTAATATAATGAAAATATCAGCAAATTATGCGGTTAGGCAATGTAATCTAAAAAATTTGAAAAGAAACATTTAGTTGACGTTTACAACTTGATATAGTAATTTAAGCTTATTCAGATAATAAAAATGTGAAGTAGGTTGAATAAAAAAGAGGCTTTTATTTTAAGCTAAGTGAGAAGATTCTATAATGAACTTTATTTGTAAAGTATGTACGTCATAATGTCTTGTTGTCATATCACTAGACTTGTGAACTGCAGTGTTTATTGTGATCACTTTAGAAACTTTTGTACAGGACATCACAATACAGCATTTGATCCAAACCACTGAATCTTTTTTAGTGATGCACTCCTCTCTGCAAAAAAAGCAAATCTTCTGTGTTAAAAAGCGAACCTCGACTTTTGGACTCGACCTTGCACTGAGCTTAATGATCTAATTTCGAGTTCTCCTAAAGGTCCTTTCACTTTGCATTCGCTTGTGCAAACACAGTAAACATCTTTTCTTTCTCAAATAGTACACTGAGGATAATAACACTTGAAATTCTTGTAGTGACATAACTTTCATGAATGTAATAACCTACTTTAGTATAGAAGGAGTCTCAAAAAAGATAGCTAATGTAAAATCTTAAACGACAAGTGTTTTAGCTATTGAATATGTTATTGTCAGTGACATTTGGAAGAAAAATGAGCAAAGGCAAGTGTGTTGAAATTGCTTTTTGACTTTGGTGTCAAGTTAAACAAAGCCGGAAAAACTAGTTAGTAGCAAAGAAGTAATTCTTGACTCGCAACCATTCCGTTGAGATATACTGTCAAAGGATTTTAAAAAACAATTATATTAATGTTGCATGCCCACGTCAGCTGGTACTAACAGCAATACAGATAAAATATGCTTTTGTATGCGACCACCAACATGGCAGAATTGCGAGTCAAGAGTTTATTTACTATTCTTCAAATGTATAGTTACAAGCGATAACTTAGTTAAAATGTTACATAATTTTCTAAATGATTTTGATGGCTGCATGGAGAATTTCGAGAAGAAAAACGTTTACCTAATTCAATTCAACCTGCATTGTTTGTAAACTCTTCTTCTCAAAAACCATCTTCACTTTTATATGATTGCTGAATTCTGGTAAGCGTTGATAATGCAAACAGCTTAACACTTATGTACACTTATTACAAGGCGTAAAATCCAAATTAAAAGCATAACGAAACAAACTTGATTTTCAAATAGGTCAGTACTTTAAAAGCTGTGAAAGAATATAATTTTAAGCAAAATTTTTCTACGAGCATGATTTGCTTATTTTTCTTCTAAATGCAACAAACAACATGACATTCTACAGCAGCTCTTTAATTATATTTAAGAACTGCAGTCGTTTTTAGTAAGTTGTACACATAACCTCGTTGAAGTTGGCTTATCTTTTTTGTACGGCTAAACTATCATTTGCTTCTAGATGCCACTTACACCGGAAGCTTTATTTAATAGTATTTCAAAATTGTAAATTTTATAAGATAGTATACTGTGTTAGTAGGGACCTAAAAGCTGTGTCTGCTTACAGGAGATGTCTGCTTGTGAGAGTTTTCTGTACATATATTGTCGCTCTCAATCATTATATAGATCCTTTTGTCATTCCTAACATTCAGATTTTGAGGCCCGTCAGTCACACGATTCAATTTGAATGATCCGATTGGTTCTGTTCCTACTTTTGGTTGCTCGTTCAGAGGA